GTCTGTTGTGTCGAGTGTGGCTCAAGGAGGGCTGAGGAGGAAGTGGCTAGAGGTCGGTCATGGGGGGGACCTAGATGGTCTTAGATACCAAGCTCGGCACTTGGGACCCTTTAGACTCTTGGCTGTAGGCAGTGGGGACACAGTCAAGGGCTTAAAGAGTAACATGGTCAGAACTAGAAAGATCTTGGGCAGCTGAGTGAGATCAGAAGCACCAGAGGATACACAAACAGAATCGGAGAGACCGGTCCTGGGCCCCGACTCAGGACAAAGGCTGCACGGTTATGACAGAACTACCTGACCAGCTGGGCCTGCATTCCTCACCCGTTTGGTAATTTTTATGCTGGTTAGCTTCACAAACATCCTCTATTTTGCGTGTACGGCCTTTACTACCAGGTGGTAACCTGCCTTTCCTTCAGCCTAGGTGGTTTTACAGTTTCCTTTCCTCATTGAAGTATGAGGAGTTAACAGTGCCCGTCCCCCATCTGCTCTGGCATCTTGGTAGCCACCGCTGCACCAAGGCCCCGGTGTCAGACCGCAGGTGGGACATCGGTGCCAGAGAGTAGCACCCTTGGCTCCAAGAGGGTGGACATGCCAGAAGCCTAATGGGAGGCTCGAACACTGGGGAGAGCGGGCAGGAGGAGTGCTGAAGACCAGAGGATGAACAGCAATCAGCTGGTAAAGCCTTCCCTGCTCCCCTCCACCCCACTTACTGTGAGATGCAAATTGTTATGGTCATTGGAGGGGCCTAAACCATAAGGGACTGGTTAACATGGACACGGGTAGGAGCCACAAGAGCTCATGAAAGCTTATCCCTGTGTGCGGAGCTTGAGACACAACCCTACTCAGAAGAAGCTGTTGGGCTTGACATGGTCCCTAAGTCCCCTGAGATTCTGTTTTCTGTCACTATCCACTATCCTCTGACCCCATTGAGGCCGTACAAATGGGAGGGAGGGTCTTGAGGCTGGTACTGAGTAGGGGTGAAGCAGGAGGCAGGGAGAGCAGTAAAGAGTTCATCACTATAGCACTGGGCAGAGAAAACAGGCAGGGAGAAAGGAGGGGTGAGTGGGGAGAAGGAACGCAAATCATAGCAGGGACAGTTAATGTTTACTGAGGGTTCACCCTGTGCCAGGTGCTTTAAAGGCCCCATGTGCAAATACCAAAACCTCTCCCTCCCACCAATGAGGAAACAGAGGTCTGAAGAACTCAAGCCCATGGTCACTGCGTGGGGAAGTGGCAGAGCTGGAACCCAGGCAGTCCGAGCCGGAAGCTCGCTCCCAGCCCTCCTACCCAGCTGGGAGAAAGACTTTGAGGAAGGGACCAAATGGCCCAGAGGACAGTGAGCGCTGAGGCTGCGAGAGGGCAGTAGGTTAACAGGCGCTGGGCTGGAGCTGGAGCCCTCCTGTTACCTATGTGACTTCCTACCAGTCCCTTCCCCTCACTGAGCCTTGTCTCCTCATGAGTGCAAGAGAGTAGACATTTTCATACTACCTGGGGGAAGGGAGGGGCAGAGATGGGGACACGGTCTCCCATTCAAGTAGAATAGCACCAGTGACCTGCTGTTGCTGGGGGGACTGCAGAGCATTTTAATGGGGCAGGAGGTTCTGTGCTCGAAAGCCTGTTGGAGAACCCTTGGAACAGAGGTCTCAGAGGCTCCTCCTACTTCAAGCATTCCTTCTCTCTCATCTTAAATGGGGCAGGCAGTGACCAAAGAGTCAAGATGACAGCAGGGTGTCTGAGGCAGGGGGATGATGGGAGGCTTGAATGCCTATTTACACGAAGGTCAAAGCCAGATGCTACCAACTCTCTTTCTTCCTCTTGTGTAACAACAAGAGAGAACAGAGGAAATTCCTAATTTGCAGGTGGGGTATGCTCCAAATGTTTCTTCTTCTGCCTCTTTTCAAGGATTAGGTTTCCTCTCACCACTTTATTATGTGCTCTTTACGGATATCATGCAGACGATATTCTTTACTGGAAAGGTCGAGCAAACTTCAAGTTTCTTCATGATTCGGTTATCTGGAAGTCAGATCATACTTTCCCAAAGAAATCATCAGGGTAGAGTTGGAGCAGAATAAATAAGATTAGCTGGGGGAGAGAGAGATAAGGAGGAAAAGATGTTCCTAAGGTGGAAAGGTAACCCTCAGAAAAGAAGGAAAAGATGGAGAAGCAAAAAGACATGGAAGGGGGGTGGTGATAGTGACACTGACAAGACAAGGCTAGAGGGGAAAAAGATGTAAATATGTTTGGAAAGCTAAAAATAAAATATTTCCGATGTTAAGCTGCAAGTGGGAAGAGATTGGGGGGGCGGTCTCAGTATCCTAGGGAAGTAAAGAGGTGGGTTGGGTGGGGGATGGGGGGGGAGGGAGGTGTTGGTTTAGGCCTGCTTTCCCCAAAGTGTAATTCATAGAACATTCATTGCTTGAGACAATTCTTGGAAAACAGATCTCCAGTCAGCCAAGCTCAGAAAACACCATGTGCCAAGCAGTTTTGGAGGCTATAACGTACACTAGCACACAAGGCTGTGTAGGAATGAAGCCTGCTTCCCGTTGTTCGATCCAGCGTTTTTCAAATGTGGCCTCAGAGCTCCATTTTGGAAAGCACACTTTGGAAGAAGCCTGGTCTTATGCAGTGTCCGGTGTGAGCCAGCACGGTGGCGCCACCGTCCAGCTTGGCACTGTCTAGTTGTTCCGCCAGCTTGGACTGGGGCAGGCAGGCGCATCTAGCTGGTACAAAGTACTCTGAAACCTGTTGTTTGAAACCTGGGAAATATCTACATAAATTATGTCATAGGAATTTAAGATCACGGCTAAATTTCACTGGTCCAATATTTGTTTTGACTTTGTAATTGAACAGGGAAGTCTCCCATTCCCCTAAAATATAACATATCTCTACCTTAGCATCCTTCCCTCCAGTCTTCCTTGACCTCGGTCACCTAAATTCAAAAGCTCAGCATCACCACTAATTCTTTTACCCACTTTGCTCAAGTATATATTTTAATCTAATTTATATGCTATCTAGCCCACAGTCATCTGTCTTGTGTTCAGGCCGATTTGTGGGAGGCCATCCATGCTTTGCGTAGTAAGATCTGACAACACTGTGTCTACAGTGTATCCCTCACCTACTGGTATAATAGCTGGGAAGAGAGGAAGGCGAAGCTGGCATGGCTTGTTTTCAGGAATTCCCTACTGGCTCCCAGCAATGGTGGCTTCCTCTTCTAGGCGCTCACTGCCATTGTTTTAATATGCTCCTGAATCTTGCCATGATCAACATGTGTTCATTGGCATCAGACAAATGTTCCTTGATGACAAGGGTTTTCTTAAACAAATACTTGTTGGATTGAAGTGGCTTGGATTTTATATGGCATTTACCTACTCTCTCTTACATTCTCAAATATTCTTCTAAGATGACCCACAACTGTCTGGCTGTCTTGCCTGCAGATTTTCTGAGGGCCTTGGTCTGTGCCTCACTTGGCCAGGGGACTCGAACAGCCTCGAGGGGTTTGCCTGCCACCTACTCCCCCACCTCGAACTTCAGTTCCTTTTTAACAGGGCTTCCCTACCTGACAGATTCAGCTCCTGCACCTGGCCCTATCACCTCTGCTGCTTTTCTACCCCTATGGTCAACTTCATCTCCAGGAACATGCAAAGCTCCTTTCTGCATTGAAGTCCCTGTTCACTGGCTCCAGCTGAGATGCCCAGATGTCCCTCCAGCCCTTAGAATGCAGTTTATATCCTGGTTCTTCCAGGTCACTCACTGCTCTCTCCTCCCTCTGAGCTTCCAAAGCATTTGGCAGCCACCATCCAGTCACATACTATTTGGGATTGTTAATAAATTATTCCCTGGAAGGGTTCCACTTGCCATTGTGAGGAAGGAAGCCTCCAGACAGACAGAACTGGGACCTTACTTCTTTAGACTCTCTCTGCAGCACTATGTCACGGCAGTGCTCAGAAATGGTCGATGGACACACTGCTATTTCCAGCTTCCCACTGGTCCCAGGAAGGCATACAAAGTCCCTCTACTTTGACGGAAGCTGTCAACTACCAACAATTTTACTATCTCGAGCAGATCCAGAGTTTATCTTGAAATGAAATGGACAGTGAGCCTTTTAGAACTGGGCATACTGTTCTCTTCAGATGAATTTCAATGAACTTTAGTATATGGACACGGTAAATGTATTAGTCCACCTAGTAGGTTATAAAAATATGAATTTAGGTTATTTCGAAAAACTCAAAACACCAAAGTTACATTCTTAGAAAAATAATAATGCTTCTCAAACGAACTGGAAATCAGTTAAGTTATTTTTTAAAAACTGCATTCTAGATCAATCTGATTCTCCAGGTCATGCTGACATGACTTCAAGGCTGACATGTCTTCCACATTAGTTTCCTAAGCACGGCTAAGCTCAACACACATGAATCAGACATGCAGTGAGAAGCTCTCTTTTCTCAGACCCTGCCCAGGGCACATGACGCTCAGTGGCCTACTAATCAGACTTTCCCAGCTATTTTGCTGGGGGCTGGCATTCAGGCCTGATCTAAGGGTGCAATCTCCTGCAGGTGTCCCAGAAGATACAGTTAGACTGGATAATTTCGAAGCTGCCTAAAACTCTGATATTTAAAGGGGTGTTTTTATTTTTTTTTTAAAGGAAAATACACAGCTACCCAAAGACAGGAAATAATCAGTGTTTTACTTGGGGAGAATTAGGATTGTCATTTTTCTCTCAATTTTGCTGGAAGGGCACTTGCAGCAAAAAGAAAACAAAATACCCCAGCAATTTTCCTTGCCTAAAGAGCAGACAGCAACAAGCAAGCAAGTTGTATGGTATTTAGCTTATCTGCATTCCTTAAGGAGGATGATGGCGGCGGGGTTATAAAATGCCACATGTCTAGTATCATGTTCTTTCTCTTAACCCTCACTACTCACATACTTGTGTGTGTGTATGTGCGCATATGTGCACAAACATACTCACACTCCCTCCCTCACTCCATCTTCCCAGACCTCACCTGGTTGATAACATAGATGCCGTAGTCTAACTGCTGACGCTGCAGGATTGGGTGCAAGTAAAACAGCCAGTACTTGAGGTGTTCCTGCCGGTTACGGAATGGAATAATGATGGCCACCTTGTGGGGAGAGATGCAGTTCTTGGGGGCATAGCGGCCGCCCACCTTCACCTCTGGGTTCTGTTTCTCCACAAGCTTCAGGTCCACAGGCATGTTAAACTCGATCACCATGGGGCCGACTAGAGAGGTGGAAGGAAGGAGAAGTTAGCAGGCTACAGGGTTCCCCCACGCCACAGCCTCAGGAGACACATCCTCCTGGGAGGCAGTGTGACAATGAAAAAGGCACTTACGTCCAGCACTAGCACGACCAACCATCCCAGGAAACCCCTCAGGACCAGGTAAAGCCAGACAGCTGGTCACCCTATGAAGCACTCAACTGCCCATGACCCGCTCCCCTGAGATTCTAGGTTTCTCAGCTCTAACTGGAAATGGAGTGATTGCTACTTAGACTTCCTGAAAGGTTGTTGTAAGGATCAGAGAAAATGGATGAGAAAGCACTTTTTTAGGAATCCTGAGATTGAGACCTAACTTTGCCACCTCCCAACTGTGTGACCTTGCACAAATGACTTCCATCGACTCTCTGAACCTAGCCTAGTTGGGAAAGGGTGTGTGTGTGTGTGTGTGTGTTGGGGAGGATGGTGTTGTGGAAATCAGCCTCAAATCAGAAGGTAGCAAGAAGCGGTATGAGTACCCCATGTCTCAGGAAGGCACTTGATGCACAGATTAAAAAAAAAACTCCAGGGGTAGGACTGGAGGAACTGAGACCCAGAGCAGAGTACAGGGAAACGGAGAAGAGAAACAGCAGAAAAGAACATCAAAGAAGAATGCTTAGTAAATGTAGGTCGTGGAGTAACAAAGGGGATGAATAAGGAAGGAAAAGTCAGAGAGGTCCCCCAAGTTTCTAGCCTGGAAGAATAGAGCTCCAGATGAGAGAATAAGTTAGTAAGAGAGCTCTTGGCTTAGAAGAAAAATCGATGAGACATGGATGGTGGATTCTGAGGTAGTGATAGGTTAGGAGTAGTGGGAGAGGCCAAAATCATGATCCAGATACAGACATGGAAGTCCTCGTTTCCTAAGGTGGAGCTAGGAGAGGACTGCACTCCTCAGCTGGGGACCGCCCCTCCTGTGGCATGCAAGGTGAGAGCAGGGAAAAGGTAACAGGCCCAGGAACACACAGGAAACTGGGGACAGAGTCAATACTCAAACCCAGGGTGCCTGGGTGGCTCAGTCAGTTAAGCATCTGCCTTTGGCTCAGGTCATGATCCCAGGGTCCTGGGATCGAGTCCCGAGTTGGGCTCCCTGCTCAGCGGGGAGTCTGCTTCTTCTCCCTCTGCCTCTGCCCCTTCCCCCATGCTCATGTTCTCTCTCTCTTGTGCTCTCTCAAATAAATAAATAAAATCTTTAAAAAAAAAATACTCAAACCCAGAGCCCCAGTATTCCCTGTAGGCCAGACTTTCTCAAAGTAGGCTACAGGAAACAATAATTCAAGTAAAACGCTCAATGGAAGAACATGCCCCCTGGTCAAATAAGCATACTAAATCTTGCTTCTGAAAAGTATGAGGCACAGCAAAGGTTCTGAGAAGTTGTGCAGTCAAGAAATCCCCTTCACTTTATATAACCTACCTTTTCTTAAACTTATTTGGCCATAGAACCATTCGACCAGGGAACATATTTTCAGAACTGTTACTCTAGCATAATAAGCCAACTAGCCACAAGAACAAAGGCAGCTACAGAATAGAGGTGAGAATTCGGCCCACAAACTGGGATCACGGTCACCTGAAACATGCTGGTGAGACCCACCCGAGGCCCAGCACGCATCACTCCGTTGCCCTATTTGTTCATCAATAATATGTGGTGCTCCAAGCACCCCTTGTGCCCAGAGATCACTCACCCCCCTGAAACGAGCCCCAGAAAAGGAAGCTGTGATTCTTGCTCCTCTTGCATGTCAGCAGGTACAGACTCCCCAGCATCCCCTGGTACTTCTCACACCTTCCCGCCCTCCAATGCTGACTCAGTTCCACCATCATTGGACCCATTCCCATCCATTTATTTTCTTCTGAGACGCAGACCTGATCATATCATTTTCCTGATTAAAAAAAAAAAAAAAAAAAAAAACAACCTCTGATGGCTCACAGGCCGTGTAGTCTTTAAGAAGTAAGGCCAAACTTCTTAGCTTGGCACAAGGCCCTTCAGTCAGCTCTACCTCCCTCCCCATTCCAGTAAACCATGCCTACGTCCACACTTTTTTCTTTGCCAGAAATGCCCTTCCTTCTTTCCTCTAACAACAGACTTTTACATTCAAAGACAGAACGGAATCTTAAAATTAATAAAGCCCCGATCTAGCTTTGTCCTTTTGCTCTCTTCGTTAACAAAGCTCAGACAGCAGACGCCCTGGCCCAGGGGCATGGAGGCCTCACCTCACACAACTGACCCAGTTCCAACTTCTCAGGATGCCCTTGGGTGAGGGGGTACTATGCTCCAGGACTAAGTAAGGGGTCACCTGAACCAGTTTTTCTCAAACCCACCATCAGAATCATACGAGGCAATTCATAAAAAATATGGTATCTCAGGCTACCGCCCTAGGGAATGAGTTGGCCGATTTGGAGAAGGACAGAGGTAAATCACAAGCAGCCCAGGTGACTGGGCAATGGGAAGCTGAATCTCTCATTTTCACAAGCTTTGGGGCTTTCGTGGAGATAGTCCTTCCCCATAAGGTCCAGCAGGCCTGGGCTGCTCGACCCTGGCAAAGCTTCTGGGAGGCCCTGCAGCCCAGTGCACTTGTGAAAAACATGAAAAGACAGTCACTGGGCTCTTCTCACTTCACAGGGCCCCACAACATCTGCAACATCCCCCCGCACCTCCCTGCAGCCCCACCCTACCTCTGGTTCTGAAGATGCTGCTAAACATAACTCCATTTTTGGGAACCCAAGAGGCATCTGGACTGTCCCCCTACCAACTTGCTCATATTTTCTGAAACTAACCCAGAAGACAGGAATTCACACGTGGTCTGCCCAACCTCCCGAGAGCAGACACCTGTGGGCTGGAAAGCATCTTAGTTTTGCCCATTGGGCGGTTCCAAAAAGGCGGTCCTGAGGTAGAGGACCTGGACAAAAGAAAGGCTGCCTGGGCCTGGGTTCAGCTCCACCAGTGACTTGCTGGATGATCTTTAGGCAAGTGTCACCCACTCTCAGGATACTGGTTTCCCATCTGGAGATTGCAGGGATTGGGATCCAACCGGCACCAAACGAACTCTTATTCACCCCCACCCCCACTCCCATCATCACCTATGGCCAAACCTGCCTCTGCTCCAGAGTTTCCTCGGCAAGTGACACTGCTGTCCACCAGATTGTGGGAGCTGATACCCTAGGTGGTCCATCTTCTATTCCCCCTCCCCTTCCCCAAACCCAGCACACTCACTCACACACAGGAGGCACGAATGGCATGTGACAATCCATGGGCGCCTGCTCAAGTGCCAAACCAGACTCTTTTTTGAAGTGTTTAACGCCAACTTTTCCTATGGTATGTGTCAAAGCCACTTCCAATTTGTTTTAATCAACACTTTCTGGGCACCTACTGTGTGCCAGAATGTGTGCCCAGTGGAGGAGGGGAGGTGACAGAAGAGTCAAGACAGTTCCTGACCTCAAGGAGCTCCCCGATGAGGGTGTGGCAGAACCTCAGTGAAAACTACCCTGGTTTAAAGCTGTGTAAAGGACTCGCTCCTCCAATGGCTTCATGCAGGGCTTTATTACTCAACAGCCTCTCCTCACTCTCCGGCTCCTCTCCTGGCCCTTCTCACAACCCCCAGCATGTCTGTGACACATCCAGAGCGCCCTGATCCCCAATCCTGCTATCCGTGGCAATTCTTTCCCCACCTGCTTGCTTTCTCTGAAGCCTCCACAGCCCCGAGAGCCCTGTGGCTCATGCCTGAGCTTGGTCAGTCCTCAGCAGTCGGCGGCGGCTGCAGACCTGGAGCCAAATTCCTCCTGGGTCCAGTGCCAGTCAGGAGGCCTCCCTGAGTGCCCTGCACACCCCTGCCATGCAGCAGGGGCTGTTCTCCACAGCGTGCCTGGCGCTGTCCCAATGAGCAAATCCAGAGAGCTCGGACTCCAGGAGGGCAGTGACCAGCTCTGCCCAGAAGCACAACGAACTGCTATCAGATCTCAGAGCCACTGCCAGGGGCCTCAGAGAGGGGCAAGGGGAGGAGGCAGAGGATGAGGGCTTCATGAGAGTCCTCACGCTGAGCCGAGGCTCCCTTGCTGTGCGGCGCATGGCATGTGCTACCACAGGCCCTAGGCCCCGCTGGGCTGGCTTGTGTGTTTTCTTGGCTCTGGGAGCTGGAAGCAGGGTTACGTAAGCAGCTGAGCAGATGTGAGCCTGTCCTCGGCTCCCCCCGCTAAAGCCCCGCCACGTGGGCCTCTCGGCTGGGAGTCCAGGTCACGGCCTTGCGTGTAAGGCGCTCAATAACTTCAATGTGTGAGCTCAACTCAGACAAATTCCACTGCTCCCTTGCCCGGCACGGCAAACCCAAACACACACATGCCCTCCATCAAAGCCCGGCTAATCTAGAGTCAACCCAGCACGGACTCCCTGTCTCCCTTTCATGCTGGAGCTGCTCGTTCCTTTCACTATCCTCAGCAAAACAGGCTGGAACATCTAGTCACCGCTCCCCAGCTGACTGGCCAGTGGCGCAAGATACAATCTCTGACTTGATGCTGGGTCGTGAGACGATGTTTCACCAGCCTGTCACAAAATGGTAAAAGTAAAGACATTGTACATTGTTCTTCATTAAGGGAAGTGTAATCAATGTATCGGAATGCCCTTTCTTCCAAAGTCAAGGGCTTCTTACTCTAAATGTTAAAATGTCCTTTTATGAAATGATCAAGGTGGATTTTGACACTGAATTGATTTATTTTAAATTCAATTTGTAAAAAATCCCATACTTGACAGCCACGGGATCCGGCTCCTAAGTTTCTTGTGAAACTTTCCTGGGTAATGAAGCTCAAACATGTGGGAACTGTGAGACGCAACAGTGCCCAGAGCTCTGTGGTCCTCAAGTTGGGGTGCCGGCCTGTCTTCCTTGGCCCAGCCTCAGCCCCGACAGTGTGACATAGCGCCTCTTCAAACTATCTCCCCTTCAACCACAGCGCTGTTCACAGGCTCATGTGAGTAGGCCATTTTT